TACTTCCAGATACTTTTTTTTTTTTTAAAAAAGAAATGAAATCTTTAGAGGAGAAATTTCTTAATCTCACCAAAAGCTTTTTTTTAAACTAAAAACAGAAATTAATTTGCAGTTTTTCATAAACGCTTATTTCAAGTGATTCAGAAAATAGAGAAAAAGTATATAAATTTAACCCAAAAAAACCTCAAATCCCAACATCCCAAAATAACCACTGTTAATTTTTTTTTTTATCAATTTGATATCTGTCCTAGTTTTATCTATGCATATATATGTACTAGGAGCCCTGGTAGCACAGTGGTTAAGAGCTCAGCTGCTAACCCAAAGGTTGGCAGTTCAAATCCAGCAGCTGCTCCTTGGCAACCCTATGAGGCAGTTCTACTCTGTCCTATAGGGTCACTATGAGTCGAAACCAAGTCAACGGCAACCTAACAACAACAACAACATATATATGCACTTAGATATAGAAGGCTGTAAATAAAAATGAGAACATATAATATATACAAATACTATATAAATATATATGTATACATACTGTGTAATAACTTGTTGTTTTTACTTGTCAGTATGTCATAAACATCTTTCCACGTCAAATAAATCTACATCATCAGTTAAAAAAAAAAACAAAAAACTTTGGTATACGTGTGAAACTGAGTTTGGTTCTATGCTTAAGTAATTATAAGCAGTTTTTTCACCTATAAAAATGCCCAGTGGCACTTTTGAAAGTCTTGCTGGATGCAGGACAACTATTTCATTGTGCAAGACTGATGTATTGCAGAACATCCCTGGCTCCCAGCCATTAGATGCCAGAGACACCTCCATCATCGTGACAATCAAAAGTGCCTCATGGGGAGCAGTATGACCTCCACTGAGAATGACCAGCCTGGATGACAATGAGGGAGAGGGCGCCAATGGCCCTCAGGTGTCAGTGGATGACTCAAGGACAGTGACAGATAGGGAAGTTGGGAGGGGATTGGCTGCCCAGCCTAGAGAAAGAGTTCACTGCAGCGCTTTCCTTCTGAGTCAAGGAGTCTTTTCACTTTCTTAAATACTTCAAATCTGGCTTTTGCAAACTGGTAACAGTTTAAAAGTTCTAAGCACAGCTAGGAGATAAAAAGGAAGGAACAGGAGGATATTTTGTAGGGAAAAAATGCAAACTCTTTTTGGCTTATTTACCCTAAGGGCCAAAAAGACCCACTGTCATTCCCTGCCCTCCACCTTGGCTTGTTGGTAGGAGTGTACTATGTGTCAGGAGTTCAGGAGAACTCTAGTGCTAACATGAATCCCTGAAACACTTTTGAGATTTAATTCTTATTTCCTTTTAAACTGTAGGTATGCTCTCATTCCCCTCCCCACTTTTTTCTCAATTTCATGAAGTATGCAATAGACCTAATCCTACTCTTGAATGTATTGAGCAGGTGGACATGATTGTCTAGTGTTTGCACCCTGCAGGTCGCCTTCTGCTTGGGAGTCATAAAACAAACGAATCAAAAAGGCCTGATCCACAAAGAGTACTTTCCAGAGGATTTTGTGCCTTGGATTTTTGTTTAACAGTGACAACAACACCCTCCCACCTTCACAACCATGGGTATATTGCATTTATTAAAAAAATTATTTTATTTTGTTGCTGTTGAGAATACATGCAGCAAAAACATACACCGGTTCAACTTTCTACATGTACAATTCAGTGACGTTGATTACATTTTTCAAGTTGTGCAACCATTCCTAACCTCCTTTTCTGAGTTGCTCTTCCCCCATTAACATAAACTCACTGCCCCCTAAGATTGCATTTAATTTTTAAATAGTGATTTGGCCCAAAGATAGTAGGCTCACTTCAAATGTGCATCAGTTTATGGTATTCCAAGAATATAAATCTTTTTGCAGCCTTATGCCAGAATTAAGTTTATTCATTTACCAATAAGATGCATACTATTCACAAGGCAGAAGGTTAGACATTTTCAGGAAATTAGAACTGAACAAGATCCTTTATATCCTCAAGGTGCCTATTGTCCAGTAGGGAAAATAACATCTCATGTATATTATTATAAGTAAGTGATGAGCTCTTGGAAAGGTAAGATGAAATAATACTTTCCTCTGAAGAAAGCTTCATGGAGGAATGTGTTATTTTTAACTTGATGACCTTTAAGATTCGTTAAAATTTAGACAGGTATTAGTCCAAAGGATTAATGGACCACAACTACCATGGCCTCCACCAGACTGAGTCCAGTACTAGATGGTGCCCGGCTACCACCACTGACTGCTGTGACAGGGATCACAACAGAGGGTCCCAGACAGAGCCGGAGAAAAATGTAGAACAAAATTCGAACTCAAAAAAAGACCAGACTTACTGGCCTGACAGAGACTTGAGAAACCCCAAGAGTATGGTCCCTGGACACTCTTTTAGCTCGGTAATGAAGTCACTCCCGAGGTTCACCCTTCAGCCAAGGATTAGATAGCCCCATAAAACAAAATGAGACCAATGAGGCACAACAGCCCAGGGACAAGAACTAGAAGGTGGGAGGGGACAGGAAGGCTGGTAATGAGGAACCCAAGGTCTAGAAGGGAGAGTGTTGACATGTCGTAGGGTTGTTAACCAATGTCATAAAACAGTATGTCTACTGTTTAATGAGAAACTATTTGTTCTGTAAACCTTCATCTAAAGTACAATAATAAAAAGTTAGACATATAAAACACTTTACATTTTGAGGAATGACTTCTTGAGGTGAAATAAATATAAGCAGAATTTTTTTTTGGGTGGCCTCTCATCACTTAATAATATGCACTCTTCATTTATTGTCTGAGAATAATCAAGTGACTTTGAATAATTGACAATAATTGTTATTGTTATTAGGTGCTGTTGAGTTGGTTCTGACTCATAGCGACCCTAAGGACAACAGAACAAAACACTGCCCAGCCCTGTACTATCCTCACGATCGTAGCTATGTTTGAGTCCGTTGTTGCAGCCATTGTGTCAGTCCATCTTGTTGAGGGTCTTCCTCTTTTTTGCTGACCCTCTACCAAACATGACGTCCTTCTCCAGGGACTGATCCCTCCTGATAACATGTCCAAAGTATACGAGATGTAGTCTCGCCATCCTTCCTTCTAAGGAGTATTCTGGCTGTACTTCTTTCAAGACAGATTTGTTTGTTCTTCTGGCAGTCCATGATATATAATGACAGTAATTACTACTGCATAAAAAAATTTCACTCAACATTGCTGTCCTTCTGTGGAAAGTCCCCTAATTTAAAAGCTGAATCTTTTTTCCAAGTTTAGCTTTTCTTCCATTGAAGAAAACCCTTTCACAACTCCAGATATTGGAGTTTCACTGCCATGTTTCAAAACTCTGGAATGTACCTTTAATTCTATTCACAGTAAAGTGCCATCTGATCTAAGGCAGATCTGTTAGGATCCTCATATAAAGATTTCAGTTGCTAAACTAGGGAAAGGTTCTTGTTATCAGGTGGGTATGACATATTGAACTCAAGAACAACACAGAAGCCCAGCTAGAGCACCCAGGAATCCCAGCAGATCCCATGCCCTCACTGTTAGACAATCTGTGTCCTGGGTCTTGAGTTTAACTGCCTTTCACTCCCTGGTGTAGTTCCATACTTCTGTCTGTATCTCATTGCCTCTAGCTTCTTCTGCCTGAACTACCTGCCTTCAGGCTGCAGATTTGACTAAGAGCAAGTCAGTCAACATGAAGACTTGGCCAAAGTGACATGTTTGTAGAAAGTTAATTACCCTGTATTATATCGTGATCTGGGTAGTAGTTAATGAGTATGTATGTGTATGAATTCACTGAGTTGTACTCTTAAGATTTGGCGTTTCATGTATGTCATCTCAAATTTTTTTAAAATAATAAAAATAAGTATTTATCCCAGTCACTGAAATATTGGCAGTCATGGTCTACTTTGGGATAATTTTCAGTGATTTATGTATTTTTAAGCTTTTAAAAATAAAATTTCATAAATTTTTAGTGTTTTTCATTCTTTTTAATTGTTGTAAAAATATTTATAACACAACATTTGCCAGTTCAACATTTTTCAGGTGTACAATTTAGTGATATCAATTACATTAATCATGTTGTGCAACCCTAACCCATAATCATTGCCAAATTACCCATCACCATAAACAGAAGCTCACTGCTTCCTAAACAATGCTCCCCCTTTCTCTCTGTCTCTGGTAATCACTAATGTATTTATTCCTTTTTTAAATCCTTTTTCAGTCAACTATTTGAAAAGACCTAAATAGCCAACAATTGAGGATTATTTGTAATAACTATTTTACCTGTTCAAAATTACAAACAGCTCAGTAAATGATTGGCAAAAAAAAAGTTTTTGAAACAAAAGAAAAGGGGAAAAAGCCAAAGTCTCTGGAAACAAAAGAATGAAAATGATGGTCGTAAAACCACCTTTTGATGCTTTGTGATTTCCAGTATTTAAATACCCAGAATTTGAAAATATTTATGTTCAGCTAATATTTTGACCAAGTTGTCATGTTGAGTAACTTGCATTCACTCTCATATTTTCGGCCACTTCTTAAGTGTCCCCTTCTCCTCCTCCTGACCACCCCCGATCCCTGACACCCATCTTCCATCCTGGTGTCTGTAGCATTTGGTTAAAATTCAGACTGAAGCTTAGTGATGAGTGAACAGTAACTGCCATGAGGATGTTACGGGAACAAAAACAGAACTACAGTCTAACTCTTTACCTTTAGCTGTGATTGTCAAGGTCTCAGCACCAAAGGGAGAGAAACATTTCCTGCTAACAGGGAGCTTTTGAATAAAATAAAATAAAAATCAAATTTGATGCCACTCATTTCTAACATTAGATCTATAAAGTCCAGGTTCTATATGGAAATTCAGTTTGAACTTCTTCTCTCCGACAAACCCAGCCAGGCCCACTATAATGGATGGATTTACTGGTAGGATGAAGTGCTTCATAACATTATTATTGTTTTAAAGATAGCCATTTAGCATGAACTTTTTTATTTTTTTGGAACAGGACAGTTGGGAGGTGGTGGAAGGACTGAGGGGAGAGATGAATTACACCCAGGAGCCGCCACTTCAGAAAGGATTCCTGCTGAAAAAGAGGAAATGGCCCTTAAAGGGCTGGCACAAGGTGAGACATTGGCCTGCCTTTATTTGCACCCATGTCACCCTACTCAGTACCAGGTTCTTAGACACTTACATTTAATTTGAGGTTGAAATTTGAGACCAAGGGAAGAATGTTAAAATGGAACATCTTAAAGTGTTTAATTTTCTTCCCCACAGAGATTCTTCTATCTGGACAAAGGAATCTTGAAATATGCCAAGAGTCAAACCGATGTAAGTCTTCTTGTTTATCCAGCATGCTGTTGAAGCATTCTGAAGGGCTAATGGTTGTCAGCTCAGGGATGAGATTGATTGCATTTGGGGGTTACATTTCTCGTAATTCCTTCATGTGGGACAGCAGTGTCTGCTCTCCATCGTCCTAGCTCTGGATGCTAGATGGGCTCAGCTCAACCACCAGGTGGAGGTGCAGGGGCCCCTTCTAAGACCCCACTGAGTATCCAAGGGCCTGTTTTGGTTTTAGGGTTATGCTGAGGGGTTCTCTAGGTGAGAGAAGACATCCTCATAGGTAATTAGCAGAAACAATATATGGGGCAGCTGTCACTGCCACTTTTATAGTGACTGAGGGGTTTGGTGGAGCAGGCCTGGGGTGAAGGAGGTATGTAGTTTGCCTATGATGAAGACTAGACAGTCCGCTTACAAGGGCTCTGATTTGCCCAGGGGTGGATAACCAGTAAGCAAGGTACACAGGACTTAATTGTGTTTACTTATTAATCCGTAGTGCACAGTTTCACATGGGTTTCACCACATCTTTGATTAGTAAAGTAAGCACAAGTAAGCCTGTGCGTACCTTGTTTATTGGATAATCCATCCCTGGACTGGCCTTCAGTCCTACCCATTATAGGGGCCCTTCACTCACTCTGCACTTCTCTCATTTTCTTCCTCTTCTAGCTTCTCTTAGCTTCTAGCCCATGTTCTCCTTTTTAGATGATGTTAAATGAATTTAGACACCAGAAACTAATTCAGTGGGCAACAGTGTTGGCAGTTAATTCACTGCCAGTGGAGTCATACAGCATGAGTCACATTCTGACTGCCTCACTTAGTGACTGTGTAAACTCCTTGTTACTTGGCTTCTCTGTACCTTGGTCTCCTCATCTGTAAAATGGGGATAAGGTTTCCTACTTCACAGATTAAATAAGATAATGCAAGTATAGCACTTAACAAGGTACTGGTTCACACTAAATGCTTGATGAATACTAATTGTTATGTTTGCTGTTAGTGGTTTGGGAAAGTAAGAGTAGAGGAAAGGGATGTCAAGGATGTTACTATTATTTTTAACACCATGATTCTCAAGTAGCCCTCTTGGTGCCTGTGCAGATAGAGAGAGAGAAGCTGCATGGCTGCATTGATGTTGGGCTCTCGGTGATGTCTGTGAAGAAGTCATCAAAGTGCATCGATCTTGATACTGAGGAGCACATCTACCATCTGAAGGTGAGGTTGCTTCCCAGGCACTGTCTCCCATTGCACCAGGTTCTGTTCGTGCTGGGCAGGGGTTGTCAGTTATTGTACAGGTAAGGACATGCCATCCACATGGACCTCATTGCCATTTTGTAGCTATTTGTGATGCCTTTTGAATATTTCCAAATACTCTGTCAACATGTGAGAAGATCTTCATTATCAGTGTTTAGTAATGGACCCTATTGACGTTTGGATAGGACAGTTCTTCCTTGTGGAGAACTGTCTGTCACATTGCTGAAGGTTTAGTATCCCTGTCCCTGCATCCCCTAAATAGCAGTAGCACCTCTTCCCCCAGTGATTGTGATAACAATCAGGAAGAAAATATCTTCTTGTTTCTAAATACTACCTCTCCCCCAGGCAGTAACATCCTTGGTTAAGGACATTTACTATAGGTCTGTCCCCTGATATACAATAATACTTACGTTGAGTGTGCAGAGCCCTGTCTTATATCTCCAGCTAATTTTATAGGGATTTCATTAAGATTCTCATATTACAATGAAATGTCAGGAATTTTTTCCCTAAAGTACAGGTCTCCAAATAGTGCCTCTTAAAGCTGTTTGCCCTCTTTCTCCCACAGGTCGTGGTGGTGGTTGTTAGGTGGTGGTATAAAACCAAACCAAACCTGTTCCATCAAGTCAATTACAACTCATAGTGGCCTTAAGCACAGAGAAAAACTGCCCTTAGGGTTTCCAAAGGCTATAAATCTTTACAGAAGCAGACTGCCACATGCTTCTCCCACGGAGCAGCTGGTGGGTTCAACTGCCACCGAATTTCAGTTAACAGTAGAGCCCTTAACCACTGCACCACTAGGGCTCCATGATGGTGGTATAAACAGTTAAAATCATGAAGCATAAGCTTTGGAGATATGGAGCTAGTTCAGATCTTGAATTGGCTGTTTACTGGCTGTTGACCTTTGGCAAATTATTTAATCTCTGAAAGTCTTGGCTTTCTCACCTGACAAATGGGAATAATGATCATGCTAACCTTGTAGGGCAACATATAGAGAACTTGGCATGATGCCTGCTCCCCAGTAAGGTCAATAAATTTAATTAATTGTATATGATTATTAGGTGGTACCTGAATGTAAGAAATTGCGAATGGAAACGGAACAACCAGAATGCAATTAAAGAGAATGTTTACACTTTGTGAAAAATGTAGCTAATGTCACTGAACAACTTATATAGAAATTGTCAAATGGGAACTTGTTTGCTGTGTAAACTTCCATCAAAAACACAATAAAATATTTTTTTTAAAAAAAGAAATTATTTTAGAAAATATTAAGATCCTTTTCCAGAGAATTGTAAAGACAAATTACTTGGGGTATTGGAAGCAGAGCCTGAGGGTTGGGAAAATAAAATCATGAGTGTATGAGCTCCATGTCTTAACATGTCCCTGTTTCCTTCATAGCTTATGTGCAGTACTTGGACAATACATGCTTAACACATACATGTGATTGATTGGCTGGGCAAGACAGTCAAATCTGTTTCCTAACTTAAGCCCCTGTACCTGTGGGTGTAGTTTATTGTATAAAGCAGGGTTTCTCAACTTCAGCATTACTGGCATTTTGGGCTGAGTACTTCTTTGTTGTGTGGGTCAATCTTGTGCCGTGTAGGATGGTTAGCAGCATCCCTGGTCTCCACCCACTAGATGCCAGTAGCACCCCTCCTAGCCAGGTGTGACAACCAAAAATATCTACAGATGTTGCCACATATCCCCTGAAGGCAAAATCACTCCCGGTTGAAAAAGACTGATGTAATCTTTAAACAAACAAACAAAAAAAAGATTGAAGAAAGAATACTTCCCTTGTTTCAATGGTCAATCTCTTCTAGAGCAGTTTAGGTTATTTCTCCACCTACTTCCAATAACTCTTGGTTCTGTTTTTTGATTTGGTCGGGAAATAATGGGTTCTCATTTATCAACTATTTTAGATAACAGAATAACACTAATGATTAATTCCTAATTTAAAAAAAACTTGAATGCCTTTAAATACGTTGAATCCTAGTATCTTAATAAAAATAGTTTAGTATTTCTCTGTATTGACTCACTTTAAATTCTTTCTATGCTTCTTGTTCATGTTTTTGAACATGAGCTATGACCGTGAAGTATAGGTCAGTGTAGTCATTTGAGAGTTCTAGTTAATAGCCCCAGAGTCACGGAATTTTTCAATGTGGGCAGTCTGTTCCCATTCTTTTATTTCATAGATGACAGGCCCGGGCAGCAGAGAGGTTAAGTGTCCTATAACTAGTGTACAGTCCTGTAACTAGTTAAGGGTCTGCTAATCATTTATTTAATAAAGTACTTAAATTCTTCTACCTTGTTTAACTGATAAAAAAGAGTCCAGATGAGTGCTTTGGGCATTTACTTTTAAGGGCCTCTTAGATTAGGTTAGTATAAAGGATGACACAATCAGTTTATATCAAGATTCCTGTAAAATTCGGATTAACCACATCTGGGAAATAAAATACATTTCAAGAACTTAATTTAGGGAGACAAATAGATGTGTCTGTTTTTATTGCATTTTCTGGTAAAAGTAGTACCTAGAGGGTTTTAAGTCTCATATGTATGTCTGTTAATCAACAAAACAAACGTAAGAGCCAACGTTTCAAACAGGAACGATGCCCCTGACATTTATTCCCGCATTCTTGCTCTCAGCTGTAGCGTTAGTAAAAATTTAACAGGATTGACCTGGATTTGTCTTCTTGGAAGTTCACCTACCATGCATCCTTCAGGATATTTCAAATTGCAGCTTCATGTGCCTGCCTCTTAACACAGAAGTCTCTGGTTGACGTAAACGGTTAAGGGCTCAGCTACTAACCTAAAGGTTAGCAGCTGGAACCCACTCAGAGGTGACTTGGAAGACAGGCCTGGAAATCTGCTTCCAAAAAAACCCTATGGAGCAGTTCTACTCTGCACACATGGGGTCGCTATGAGTCAGAATCTACTCAATGACAACTGATTTTTTTTTTTTTTCTTGGTCTCTTAATAGATAGCTTTCTATCATTTTTTTCACTTTGAATATATTGGCATACCCTCATACACACACACACAAAATGTTGACTATTAAGAAATGTCTGTGATACATAGGTGCTTATTCTTTTTAGTACTTTTATGAATGTTTGAAATATTTTCTAATGTAATATTTTTACTAGTTACAGACATTATTCTTTATGAAAATTAGATATTGATAATCACTCATCTGTGGAAAGGATAGGTAAAAGTTTGTGTGTGTGTATGAAAAGTCATGGAAATCACTGATAATGTTTCCTCAGATTTTTTTTTTTTTTTTTCCTGAGAGCAGGAGAAATGTTCTTTTAAATAACCTTCGTATTCATTAACATGTATTCTTCACGATGTATTCTTTGTCAAAGAAGATTAACAAGGTTAAATATTTTAGGAAGAATTTACTAATTCATTCCAGTTCAGAGAAGATTGATCTGTAAAATTTGAATTATTAAAGAGTTTAAAATGAAAAATGGTGTTAATATTTTCTGTGGGGATAGGAGACACTGGGTCCAGGGAACTTGGAAATGCTTTAAGAGAAAGATAAGAGTAAATTTCAGTTTATCTGTTAATATAACTCGTACCTTTTGCCTTCCAAAAATAGTAAACAATTGGATTTTTTCATAGATAGCATAAATATATACTTAATGAAGACCTTTTTACTTTTCACTTCCTCCTCTCACTTTCCCCCATAGACCACAGAAATGTAGAACAAGTCAATGAGATGATATTTCTACATGTCTTTCTGTGCCAACCACCAGCTGTCAGTTTGTCGTACTGTGGTGGCTTGCATGTTGCTGTGATGCTGGAAGCTATGCTACCAGTATTTCAAATACCAGCAGGGTCACCCATGGTGGAGAGGTTTCAGTAGAGCTTCCAGACCAAGATGGACTAAGAAGAAAGGCCTGGTGATCTACTCCCAAAAATTAGCCAATGAAAATCATATGGATCACAACAGAATATTGTCTGATACAGTGCTGGTGCGGTGGTTAGGCGTTTGGCTGCTAACCAAAAGGTCGACAGTTCAAATCCAGCAGCTGCTCCTTGGAAACCTATGGGCAGTTCTACCTTGTCCGATGGGGTCACTACAAGTCAGAATCGACTCGATGGCAACAGGTTATAGTGCTGGAAGGTGAGTCCCCTATGTTGGAAGGCACTCAAAATGCAACAGTGGCCGCAACAATGGACTCGAACATATCAACGATCGTGATGATGGTGCAGGACTATGCAGTATTTCGTTCTTTGTACGTGGGGTCACCATGAGTCAGCGCCAACTATGACAGCAAACAACAACAATAGCACATGTGCCAACTTGAAAAAACTGGGGGTCAGGAGTGACCTCAATTTGACAAATAATTGTTCCTTTCGATGATTTTCTTGTTTCCTCCTTTCAATTTAACATATTTTAGGTGAAATCAGAAGATGGCTTTGATGAGTGGGTATCCAAACTCCGTCATCACAGAATGTATCGTCAAAATGAAATTGCCATGTTTCCACACGAAGTGAATCACTTTTTCTCAGGATCTACCATCACAGACTCTGCGTCTGGGGTGTTTGACTCCATTTCAAGTAGGAAGGTAATCAGTGTTTTGCCAGTCATTAATCTGAAAGGGACAGGTGCCTTTGTGTGGGGGAGTCTCATCTGGGAGGCTGTGTCTGAGGAAGGAAAGGTTCTAGGGGAGGAGCAGCAAAAGCTTTGAGCTGGTATTTAATTAGTTGTGTTTGCCCAATTAGTCAGAACCAGGACTATATCTTAATATAATGTAAGCATATATTACATGCAGTCCAGTAACTGAAAAATAGTGTTCAAGCAGGACTATAATGTCCCCAAATGCTCTAGCTTTCTCTTAACTAGTTTGGTTTTGGTTTTCTTATCTGGTTGTAAAATGCAATAGGTGCGTTTATAGCCATGTAGGATTGTAAAATATTTCCAACCATTTATATCAGTTTTGGTATTACTACCATTTGACAGAGAAGAAAACAAGGATTGCAGTCCAAGGTCTTCTAGCCTGGTGTGGCTAAGCTGGGGTGACAGCCTGAGATTTTAGGGTTTTCTGCAGAATGCCTTGCCAGAGACTTCTTCCTCATTAGAGGCAGATGGCTTCCGTTGGTGACTAGGCCACTTTGTTATTTTTACCCGAAAGTGTTCCCTCTGGACTCTGTTTTCATTTGCAATGTGCTTTTGTTGTCTGTGGAACAGCGCAGCAGTATATCAAAGCAGAATTCCTTTCAAACCGGAAGCAATTTGTCATTTTCTTGCGGTGGGGAGACGCGAGTTCCATTGTGGTTACAGTCTTCGGAGGACATGGAAAAATGCTCAAAAGGTAGAGTGACTTGAAACCTGTGCTTTCTCCCACAGCTCTTAAACTGAACTGACTTGGCTCTTACACCATAAATGAATTTGTATTCTTTATCTTCTTTCATCTGCATTCCTGCTTGTTATTTTCCTTTATTAAGGCTGAACTCATGATCAACAAAAGACACTGGTTGTAGAGCTTTATGCCACCACCCAGGTGTGCATGTGGAGAGCTTTTCTCTTCTCGTCTTTTGAATTCTTCCTTTTTTCTCAAGCACTGATGTCTTATTTCCACACAGGACTACTAAATCACAATCCCTAGACGGTGGGTCTGGACATCTCTCTCTATGTTTTCAGCACCAAAAACGATTCTGGTGCACATCCAAGATAGAGAATCACTATTGTAGAAATGAGTGGGCAAACTAAAGGGAGGTTCCCTGTAAAATAGGTGTTCTCAACCCTGACTACATATTAAAAACACCAAAAAAAGCTTTTTAAAACGCCCATGCCCAGGCCCCACTCGCAAAGAATCTATTTAAATTGGTCTAGGGTGGAGCCCTGGCATCAGTAAGTTTCCGAAGTTTCCCAGGTGATTCTGATATGGAGCCAGCATTGAGAACAGCTGCCACAATGAAGCTCAGCTGTTCTCAACCTTAATTAGCTAAGGATCACCTGGGCAACCGAAAAAAAAAAAGGAAATCACCAATGGGGGTGGGGAGTGCTTTGATTTGATTGTCTGGGATTTGGGCAAATGCAATTTAAAAATTTTTCCAAGTGGTTCTAAAGTGTAACCAAGGTTGTGAAGTACCAATAAGAAAGATGCTACGTGGTAGCCTTGAAAATTGCATCTTATCCTGTTGAATAATATGCAAATATTATCATACCCCAATAACTGTCACTCATGAACGTCACTGAGTGACATATTGGAGCAGTGGTTCTCAAAGTGTGATCCCTGCACCAGCAGCATCAGCATGGCCAGTGAACTTGTTAGGAATGCACACTCTTGGGCTCACCCCAGATATACTGAATGAGAAACTGGGGCTGCAGCCCAGGCATCTGTGTTTCAACAAGTTCTCCAGGTGATTCTGATGACACTAAAATTTGAGAGTCACTATCCTAAGGCATAGGAGCCCTGGTGGCACAGTTGTTAAGTGCTTGACTGCTAACCGAAGGGTCAGTGGTTCAAATCCACCAGCCATTCTGTGGAACAAAGATGTGACAGTCTGCTTCCCTAAAGATTACAGCCTTAGAAGCCCTATGGGGACAGTTCTACTCTGTCCTACAGAGTCATTATGAGTCAGAATTGACTCAACGGCAGTGAGTATCTTAAGGCACTTGGGCCTTGATCCCTCAGCAGAAACAACTGTATGCACGCAGTGAATAGCAAACTAGGAACTCTCTTTTGAGTTGGTGACCTAGGAACTGGTGTGAGAATAGTCTTAGGTTCTCTCAGGCCAATTTGCACCCCTGCAGAGGATCATCATGATCCTCACACAGGTCCACAATAGACAAAGATATCCTTAGATACCAATACAACCTTGCTTTTCATTGCATCCATTTAGTGTGTATTGGGTCCTTACAAGACAATAATGGCAGCCTGTTGCTGCAAGATCAGTAATCACAATGATGCTAATGATAGCTGGTTTACTTAGTACTTACTGTGTGCCGGGTACTCTTCTAAACACTCTGGTATATCAACTCATTAACTCTCATAACTGTCCTATGAGCTAGGTGCTATCATTATCCCCGTTTTCCAGATGAGGAAACTGAGGCACAGAGAAGCTATATAATTTGCCCAAGATTCATAGCTCAGTGAGTGAATTCAAAGTGAGGCCGTCTGGATCCAGATCCATGCTTTTAACCACTATACTCTGCTGTTTCTCTAGTAAAAAAGAAAGTAAAATTTGCTATTCTTACAAATGGAAAATCAAATATAGATAAATAAGAAAAGTTGCTGGCACCCAACACAGTAGAACCTGCATGCCAGATAAGTGTCCATGCATCCTCCTTCTGTGTCTTGCTAGTGGAGAGTTACAAGCACTCTTCTCTTTCTCCCCAAGACTTGGCACACTGTCACACCTATCTGGTGGAAATGAGCCAGCTCCTACAAAATATGGACGTTCTGCATCGGACGTATTCAGCACCAGCTATCAACGCCATCCAGGTTAGCCAGATCCCTCTTCTGTTTGCATCCTGGCCGCCTTCTGCTTTCTGTTCTCCTCCCCAGCCTTTGACTAATAGTGGGATGTTGTCTGGTTGGTCGCTTCAGCCAAACTTGAGGGAATGGAGATACTCGCCTTGCGTGCATTTATCCCTATTGGTTTGGAGGACCTTACTGTCTGTGCTCTCTTTCCTGTTTTGAAAAAAGGGTGGAGCTTTTGAAAGTCCCAAAAAGGAAAAAAGATCGCACAGGAGGTGGCGGTCCAGAGCTATTGGCAAAGATGCTAAAGGAACGCTGCAGGTAACCGTTGCTCCCACTAGTAGGCTAGCTTCTTCACTGACTCTGCTCTGCACACCACGTGCTGGGGCTACCTTTACTCAAAGGAGAACAGACCATTCTTCATAAATATCCTGTGGAGAGAGATGAATTCAATCACTTCGATTTTCTGGATAATAGAATAAGCATATCATGGATATTTGGTAGGGGAGAAAATATTTTCTAAGGGAAAAATGGTGTGAACTTAGAAGGCTACAGCCATTGGCAGGACTTCTGGTTTCCCGCTCTCTGGTGTTTAGCTTGCCTTCTTCCCTGCTTGGGCATCGGCCTTGTTTATGGCTGCTGTGGCTGTGTGTTCTGACCTACCTCTTCTGCTGATGGTCAGTGGGTTTATCGTCCCTGAGTCCACTGGCCTGAGTCTCTGGGAGCAGGACCTTGTGTAGACCCCCTTTTGCCTCCTGTCTCCAACCTCCCAGTCTCCCAGGGGAGGTTCACTGTGTCATGCAAGCGGCTGTCTTTCCCTGTGCCCAGCTAAGCCAGTGGCCAAGATTTGCAGCTTGACCTTTTCCTATTCAGTTGCAACATTGTCAGAGTCAAAATTAAAAATGAGTGTTCACATAAATAATCTGATATACTCTTATATACTCTTTGGTTCAAAGCGCTTTGTGGATTGACCTTAAATGATTTTAAAGTAAAGAGTATTTCATGTACAAACATGTGAGAAGTCACTTTGTTTTGTAGAAGTTCCAGGTGAAAATACAGAAAAGCATTTTTAAACCGATCTGCCTTTAGCAACATAGATATGGATGATTTTTGCCAAGAGGAAGAAATTGAGCATTAAATGAGAAAGAGCCTGGCATCTTTGGATGTCATTTGCAACCTGTAGCTTTAATGCTCCCATAATTTCCAGAAGAATATGTGATTTCTTACCCATTTTTATTTCTCAGAAGCCAGTGCAGTTTGCTTTGGAAAATGTTCTCCTGATTTTTCATTTCTTTGTCTTGTTAAGTAGATCTCACTCAATAGAAAGCCTTAGTTACAAAATGTTCTTCTCTTACTACTTTCCATACTTTAAAAAAAAAAAAGTTACTGTTGAGTTGTTTCCAACTCATCGCAGCCCTATAGGACAGGGTATAACTGCCCCATAGGGTTCCCAAGGAGCAGCTGCTGGATTCGAACTGCCAGTCTTTTGGTTAGCAGCCTGAGCTCTTAACCACTTCACCACCAGGGCTCCGCTCTCCATACTCAGAAACAAGTAAATAGTCTAAGTAACCTGCAACTGAAGAGAAATATCTGTGTTTGGTGTCACTTTAGGTCCCTAAGCCTCTTTCTGGCCCACTAAGACTACACTCCTCCAATCCTAATTTATCAACACTGGATTTTGGAGAAGAGAAAAATTATTCTGATGGCTCTGAAACCTCATCAGAGTTTTCCAAAATGCAAGAAGATCTGTGTCATATTGCCCATAAAGGTAAATGGCTTTTCTTTCTTCGTAATGTGTTTGATGAAAACGTTAAATGCATGTCTGAATGTGGGATGTCCTTGGAGAGGGTATCTTAGTTGGTTCATTTTCTGCTCTGTTAAGATTTTGGGCAACTTCATTTGTATTTTATTTTATTTGCTTGGTAGTGAGGAATGTATTGGCAAAACGTTTCATTTTAATCCCCTGGGGGAGGTAGTGAGAGTGTTAGGTATACTTCAAAAGCTGAGCAATTCATATGCTGCTGATGGGAGTATAAATTGATAGTTTTCTGGAGGGCAATTTGGTATTATGATTCAACTTTTTTTTTTTTTTAATCTCTATGCAGCAATTCCACCTTGAGGAATTCATCTGTAGAAATTAATTTAAAAACTTAAAATTTATCCAAATAAAGATTGCCATTGTAGCATTGTTTATCATATAAAAAATTAGAAATAGGTGTTCAACATCATTAACCATTAGGAAAATGTAAATTAAAACCATGATATCACTACATACCTATTAAAAACAAAAACCAAACCAAACCTGTTGCTGTCGAGTCGATTCCGACTCATAGTGACCCTATAGGACAGAGTAGAACTGCCCCATAGAGTTTCCTAGGAGCACTTGGTGGATTTGAACTGCCAACCTTTTGGTTAGCAGCCAAACTTTTATGCCACCAGGGTTTCCACATACCTATTAAAACAGCTAAAATAAAAAATACTCAAAGTATCAAATGCTTGTGAGGATGCAGAGAAACTGCATCTTTCATACATTACTGCTGGGAATGTAAAATGGTACAGGCACTCTGGAAAATAGTTTGGCAGTTTTTTATGTAAAACTAAGCATGCACTTACCGTACAACCCAGCAGTTGTACTCTTGCACATTTATCCCAGAAAACGAAAACGTAAGTCCAGACAAAATCATTTAGACAAGTGTTCAGAACAGCTTTATTTGCAGTACCCAAATGCTAGAAACAACCCGAGTGTCCTTCAACAGTTGAATGGTTAAGCACATCCATACAATGAAAGGAATACTACTCAGCTACAAAAAGAAATGAACTATTGATAATACAACAGGAACTTGGATGGACCTTAAGAGCATTATGTTAAGTGAAAATAGCCAATCTTAGAAGGTTATACTATATTATTCCACTTACATAACATTCTTGAAATGACAAAATTATAGAAATGGAGACGAGATTAGTGGTTGCCAGAGGTTAGGGAAGGGGAGGAGAAAAAAGGAGAGGATCATGAGTGTGACTGTAAAGGAGTAGCACCGGGAATCTTTGTGGAAAGTTCTGTATCTTGATTGTGGCTGTGGTTATATGAATCTACATGTGATAAAATTGCACTGAACAGTATACACACATATACAGAAATTAGTGCATGTGAAACTGGTAAAATCTGAATAAGCTCTATAGATTATAGCAATGTCACTTCCCTGGTTTTGCTATTGTACCATAGTTATTTAAGATATCACCATTGGGAGAAATTGGGTATAGGGCACATGGAACTTCTCTGTACTGCCTTTGCAACTTCCTGTGAATCTATAATTATTTTCAAAATAAAAAGTTTTAAAAAATTAGAAATAACCATTAATAGGGGATTGGATGTTTTAAAATGCAATATAATCGTATATAGAATACTCAGTAGTCACCATGATAATAATGGCTGCCTTATACTGAGCACATAGCTATCATAGAGGTATTTGCTAAGCACTTTACATGCATTGGAGCCCTGATTGCATAGTGGTTAAGCACTATGACTGCTAATCAAAAGGTTGGCAGTTCAAAACCACCAGCCGCTCCTTGGAAACCCTATGGGGCAGTTCTACTCTGTCCTACAGGGTGGCTATGAGTTGGAATCCACTTGACGGCCATGGGTTTTGGTTACATTCATTGCTTCTTTAATTCTAGCAACAACCCATGGAGTAGGCATTATTATAACCTCTGTCATAGATAAGAAACCTGAGGCTTAGAGAAGCTAAAGAACTACCTAAGAGTCAAATGGCTACAAAACAGCCAGCCTGGCACTTGGCCCGCGTCTTTTTTCCTCACCTAGTGCTCCACTGCCATCACAGACAGGGTGGTCAGGGTTATTTTTTATTGACACAGAAAGATGTTTACAACATATCATTAAGTGAAGATATAAAGTTACAAAACAATATATATATGAATGATTCCATTTTTTAGAAAAAAGAAACTATATACTTCTGGCATATATAGTCATATTAAAATGTCTGGAAGGGTATGTATACATCAACATTTTAGTGATGGGGGTGGGGTTATAAATGATTATTCTTTCTGCTTATCTTTCTTTCTATTTTAATGTTTATATATTGCTCATTGTTTTTAAGGGAAAACGGGTTAAAAATGTTTAAGTGGGAGGGTAGTGCTTGAAAGGGGATGAGAGAAGGTATCCCCCCTTCCTCTCCTAGCCCCACATTTTCTTTCTTTACATTATTCCTTCAGCTCTCTCTTCCCTTAACCTACAAAATCTAAAACATAGGCCAAGATTGGTTGTGAGGAAACCACTCTGTGCTTTTTAAAAATTCCCACCTCAGACTTGTCCTAGAATTCCTTCAGTTGTTGTGCAATGCTGACATTTCTCCACCTGTAAAATGGGAAGAATTACCTACCTTGCCCCTTAAAAGCTCTTCAAACACCCACCTGGCCATTCTCGAACATTAAACCATCAGCTGGAGTTAAGTCGTTTTAGGTTTTGTGGGAGGAAAGTCCTATAAAACACCAGTCATTTTTAATAATATGAACTGTCTGTTTAAAAGTAAGAAGATAATGCCTCCCTGCTGAAGGCAGAAGTCCTGCGTTTTACCTACGTTGCAGAAGCTGCTTCCTCAGCAGAACAGAGGCTGCCATATTGACTCAGTCCATTGATCAGTCCACCTGCGGAGGTCTGACCTCCGTAATGAAAGTCTGTAATGGACCTCAGCCAGCTGCTCTGTCTTTCCGGCTTTGTGAAAACCAGCTGGCTGCAGAGCTGCCGCATACCCAGACTAGGTCAAGGTTTGTGCGCAGAGGAAGGTCCAGGTACATTTCTTCAACAACAGCCTGATCCCCACCCACGGGCTTAAGGACAAGGAATTCCACAGGGAGCCCGAGAACTATCTTTTCATTCCTATGGTTTTAAAGTACACTGGCAGAGACAGAAAGAACTCTCCCTTCTTAGTTCCAGGTGTCCCTTTAAGACAAGTTATAATTCAGGGACCTCACAGAATAAAGACAGTTCTTAGGTTTGCCCTAAGTCCTATGATCTTATGTTCTTTCTCACATCCGTACATTCACGCTCGAAGCATCTCAATCTTTCTTCCTGTGTAAACCTTATTTTTTTTTAACCAATGATTACTACTGTTCTTTCGCGACTACATCACTAGTCAGTTGACTATGATTCCAGAGCAGCTGAACTAAAGTCAAGAATTCCACTGATGTTATAACATAGTCTGTGTGACCTTCTACTTTTTCTCCAACTTGTCAAAGGCATCTGACTTCTCATACCCCTACTGTTTTATAGAAGCCCTAGTGGAGCAGTGGCTAAGAGTTCAGGCTGCTAACCCAAAGGCTGGCAGTTTGAATCCATCAGCTGCTCCTTGGAAACCCTGTGGGGCAGTTCTACTCTGTCCTATAGGGTAGCTATGAATTGTAATTGACTCGACACCAACAGGTTTTTTTTTTCATTAATCCATTTTATTTATTTATTTTTATTGTGCTTTAGGTACAAGTTTACAGCTCAAGTTAGTTTCTCATATAAAAATTTATATACACATTGTTATGTGACCCTAGTTGCTATCCCTATAATGTGACAGCACACTTCTCCTTTCCACCCCGGACTTCCTGTGTCCATTCAACCAGCTCCTGTCCCTTTCTGCCCATAAAGTCGTGTGTATCTACTTGAGCTAAGAAGCACACTCTTCATAAGTATCACTTTATGTCTTATAGTCCAGTCTAATCTTTGTCTGAAGAGTTGGCTTTGGGAATGGTTTTAGTTCTGGATTAACAGAGAATCCGGGGGCCATGTCTTCTGGGGTTCCTCCAGTCTCAGTCAGAACATTAAGCCTGGTCTTTTTACGTGAATTTGAGTTCTGCACCCCACTTTTCTCCTGCTCCATCAGGGACTCTCTGTTGTGTTCCCTGTCAGGGCGGTCATTGGTGGAAGCCAGGCACCATCTAGTTCTTCTGGTGTCAGGCTGATGAAGTCTCTGGTTTATGTGGCCCTTTTTGTCTCTTGGGCTAGTATTTTCCTGTGTCTTTGGTGTACTTCATTCACCTTTGCTCCAGGTGGGTTGGGACCAATTGATGCATCTTCGATGGCTGCTCGCTAGCTTTTAAGACCCTAGATGCCATTCACCAAAGTGCGATGCAGAACATTTTCTTAATAAACTTTGTTGTGCCAGTTGACCTAAATGTCGCCTGAAACCATGATACCCAGACCCCAGCAACAGGGTTTTTTTTAAACAGGTTTTGTAGAAGCTAGATTAAATGTTAAGCAGCCAACATGCACCCACCTAATTTTAAAAGTCTGTGTTATATATTATAGACTGTAATTTTATTTTGGTTCATATTTCTGGCTTTGTGTGTATGTTGGTATACATACAAGCAAACAGAGAACAAACATACTAAAACCAAAAAGTCAGAAGAAATTTGCTTGGCACATACTAACTTCTACATTTTCCCAAATGTATTTCATGGAACACTTTACTCATAAAATGCTTTAAGAAAAAAACGTTTCATGATTAAAAATGCTTGGGAAACGCTAGTCAATATGGTTGTTCTCTTTTGGATTTACCCAAGGAGCAGGAAGTATTAAAGACCTAAGAAGTCCTGCAGCAAAAAGTCCTGTCAGCTTTGGTTAACTCAGTGATTCTCAGTGTTATTTGAGAAGCTCCCCTCTTCCCAACTTTAATGGCTATTAACACCCTGGAACTAAAATTCCTGAGAAACATACTTCAGGAAACACTGTATGTTATAAGCCTTTTGGAGCTAGCCCTCTACATG